TTATAATTTTCGAACATGTGTTTATAAAATTTATTTATGTATGGTTGTTAAATAGATTAATGATCGAAATCTCAAATTGAAGATGGTGAAATCGAACTTTAATTTGTTTTTTCTAAATTTTTGTTTAGAAGAAAGGAATAATGTAAACCACATTTTTTTAAAATTTAAAACATAAGTGATGTTTAAAACCAAATACTTTTGACCGGAATGTTTTTTTTTGGTTTAAAATCAAAAGTGTTGAGACATGTGAAGTGTGCCCTTGGAATTTGATTAGAAGGAAAAACAAATATTGAAAACCACATGTTTAAAAAAAACAAATGAGAGAAGTGTGAGGTTTATTGAAATGAACAAAAAATTATTAATTTAATTTAGAGTGGTATTAGTATTAAGGAAAAAATAATTTTTTATTTAATAGGGAGTATAGAATTTTTTTTTTTAAAAAAAAGAGAGAAAGATGGCCACTATTCTAGGAGCCTGAGACCCTACGTTGGAATAATGTGCCCAGATTCTTTGTTTGTCTATTTCTTGGCATTTATTATTTTCCCATTTTTTTGCAATCCCAACATGATTTGTTTGTTTTTGTGCATCCATTATTACTCCGTATATAAAGATTTAACTAAAATGGTAATAACCACGTGGGTCGTCATATATTATTATGGGTTAAATTAATGTTTGAGTTTTCACCTCATATTTACCTTGCTCTTATTATTATTATTACTATTATTATTATTATTATTATTTACTCCGATCCGTAATAAAATGAACACAACGTAATTTATTAATTCCTGATCTTTTAACTGAATTGTTTTTCTTTCAATATGTATCATGCAGACTTGACCTTGTCATTATCCATCTTAATGAGTTGAACGCGTCCCGTCGGACAGGGGGTGAGGGGCGCCCGAGTTCAATATTTATTTTAATAGGTCATTCCTTAGGTGTACTTTTGTCGATCGTGTGTGGGCTAGAGTAAGGATAGGGGAAGGGACGAAACCATGTCCTTTGTTTTGTGGCTTCGGTCTCGCATTTGCTTGGATTCTTTACAGGTGTTGGGTGGTATGGTTTTTACCATATGGGCCATTTGGAAAGCAAGGAATCAAGCTTTGTGGGAACAAAAAGTGATGCAGCAATCGCTCACTGTAAATCTTGTACTAAAGCTTCAAGGGGATTGGGAAGCGAGAGTGGCGGTAACAGAACTTGGGGTAACAATTCTAGCCATATCCATACAGACTCGAAGTAGGTCCTCTCTCAGTTGTATGTGGATGCTGCGATTTTCCAGCAAGAGGGGGTTGCTGCATTTGGATGTGTGCTTCTCTCACCATATTGTCGGTTTTTGGCGATAAAGAACGGCCAGGTGCGCACTGGATCCTTTATCAGCAGAGGCTACGACTTGTAAAGAGGCGATTTTCTAGCTGAAAAAGGGATGTTTGTAACGTGGAGTTACTCTCGGATTACCAAACAGTTGTCCATGCTTTGTGTGTGGGCAAAGTTTATCCTTGTTCTTCTTAATTATTTTGGCTCTATTATAGATGATTGTTGTTCTTTATTACACTCTTTTGATTTGATAGTAGTTCATTTCGTTTATACGTTAGATAACAAGGTAGCTTGCGCCTTGGCAAAAGCCTCCTCTTCCCATACACGGGTGTGGGAAACTATTCCTCCACAAGTTGTAATACGGAGTACCATTTATTTAACTTAAAGGCTTTTGCAGTAAAAAAAAAACAAAAATCAAATAACACCCAATGTAGGATATAAGGCTCCAATGGAAGTAAGAGAGCCCATTTATTTAATTAAATGGGCCAGCAGTAAATGATCCAACAACTACTTTGTATGTTGCTGGGCCCCACAAAAATGAATGCCCTGTTTGGTAATGAGATGCCAATTAGCACCAGAAATGCCAATTTAATGATCCTTTTGCCCCTTTCCTTGTCAAACTCTGCCGGCCTTCATGCATCCACTATTATTTTTTCCGTCGTTTCTCGTCAATTTATTTTTATTACGGAGTATTTATTAGCTCGTATTTATTTATATTGGAATCAAATTTTATACGGAGTAATAAACGATTTTAAATTTAACATGAATCAAATCACATCTTAATAAAATTAGATCAGATCCAATGAAATAAGACGAAGGGAATACACTTTTAGACTCTGTCTCGCTCAAAAAAGTATAAACGAAAAAAAAGTTAAGAAAAAAAATTGATGAAAATAGAAATGACAGAAAGATTATTTTCCAACAACTCGATGGTTTAATTGTTGTAGAGAAAACAATAGATAAATGTAGGTTAATGGTGGACCTTAAATTACCATAGAATTTGCCAATAGATAGATGTTAGAGTTTCAGTGGGCTGAGAATAACAGAAAAATATCGGATGAAATTAACCACTTGCATATAAAGTCGAGATCCACTTTCTAACCCTAAAACTTAAATTTATAGGTAAGGCTTCGCACTTTTATATATACTAGTGATATTTCTCTTAATTTTCCAATTTGGAAACTCCAACAAAATGCGTTTTTCTCCACTAATCAACTAGTTCAGGACTTACACATTAGTGATTAACTAATTTTACAAGGATATATACAATATACAGAGTAGTATTATAAACTCTTGATTTTAGAGTATGTACACTTATAGAGAATGCATGTTATATTGTTATAGTACTCAAAAAAAGAGAAAGAATGAATGCCATAGAATAAGTAATTTAACAACAATCATAATACAACCTAGTATCGTTGAATCCCATGAATACATAATATATTTAATAATATACAAGTATATAATAATATTAAACAGATTTTAGGGTCCAATACATAACTATATCTAATTATAGTAAGATACATGCACTTTCTAATCACTCTCTAACAATTAGGGTATGTTTTTTTCTATTGAAAAAAATTATTTTTCAACTTCTTCAAATCTATTAGGCATTTACTATTTAGGTATTATGAATATACAATAGCATTCAATAACAACTACAGTTTTTTTGAATCTCACATGAGTAGGGTCAGGAAAACGTATGTTCGCAGATTTTACCCCTACTCGAAAGTAAAGAGGTTGTTTCTGAAAAGACCCCTGACTTAGCATCGAAAGTTGCATTGATATAATAACTGCTAATTCATTAATTAAAGAAGTGCAAAGAGTTTAGAGATTAATTTTGCTTTATTCCATCATACCCAAAGCCAAAAATAGTGAATTTTGGCTCAATCGGATATGATGGAAAATATACAATAATATTATATATCTAAATTTATAATATATCATTTCAGACATGGATAATGATGAATTTCTTTTTATCTAAAATTATATTTTTCTTTCATATTTGATCATTTAATTGATGAGTTATTTTTTACACTTCAATATTTTCAATATTTTTCAATTTTTTTTTAAATTTTTTCTAACATCCAACTTTAGAATTTCAACAACAAAAAATAGGCTCTTAGTGGAAAACATTGGTTAAAAATTCCGACATTCCTTCAAAAAAATTAAATTTACTATAATAAGAAGGATTATTACTATAATAAGAAGTGATTATATTTTTCTTCAAATAAGAATGAAAGAACACCTCGGACACATCAATAGATCAATCATTTCTTCGAACAGTTTCCCGCTATCCCAAAAAAATCTCATGGTTAATCACAAATTAAATAAAATTTTATATAGTTAAAAGTTATTAAAATTTGATATATATCTTAATAATATTTAAACAAATAATTTTATTAAATTTACATTATAACTTCCTTTTTGAAAGTTAAACGGACTAATGAATATGTAATTTAATTTGACTAAAAAATGAGTGTAATGGTTTTTTGGAACGGCCGGGAAGGAATATTATTTTACATTATTATTCATTGAGTCAAGGATGATCTAACCGGATGAATTTTAATGTGGTAAAAAAATTAATACTTCCTCCGTCCTAAAATTAGTTTCCCATTTGACTTTTCACGGTTTCCAATGCGACACTTTAGCCATCAATATCTCAATTTTTATATAAATATATTTTATAAAAATTATATATTTCAAAACTATGTTTCAAAATGAATCTATTGCTAATAAATTTATATGAAAATTCAATATATTTTTTCTGTAATATACGGTCAAAGGATGATCTAACCGGATGAATTTTAATGTGGTAAAAAAATTAATACTTCCTCCGTCCTAAAATTAGTTTCCCATTTGACTTTTCACGGTTTCCAATGCGACACTTTAGCCATCAATATCTCAATTTTTATATAAATATATTTTATAAAAATTATATATTTCAAAACTATGTTTCAAAATGAATCTATTGCTAATAAATTTATATGAAAATTCAATATATTTTTTCTGTAATATACGGTCAAAGATTAAAAAGTTTGATTACAAAAGTCAAACTGGGAAGTTAATTTTAAGATAGAGACCGGGAGGAATAGTCAACATTGAGATAGATGATTCGTGATATAAAGCATTGATATAAACTTTATAGTCAACTTTGATTTTTTTTTTGGAATTATGATGTATTTTTAAATATATAAATTTTAATTTAAATTTTTTAACGTTTTTGAAAAATTGAATTTGAAATGAATTCAATCAAATATTTTAATTTGCAATACAACTTTAATTTTGGAAGAGATATAGTACTCCGTATATAAGATGTGACATAAATCTCAATTACGCCGCAATACGTAAAAAATAAAATCCTATTGGCATAAATAAATACATGAATATACAAAAAATTTATAAGTCTAATCAATACATAAAAACTACAAATTAAAAATGATATTCATAAACAGACTTTAATTTATTTATAGCCTTATTTACTTACAAAAATATATATATTGGAGCTTTATATGACTAAAATTAATTGCTACTCACTACTAGCTCACAACTGCACCACTATAATCACATTAAAGCTATCGATCGATCCCACATTTATGAAAAGTATATTTTTCAAAATATTTATAATATAATAATTAATAAATAAAATTATATATTCCATGCAAATCACAATGTAGCTTAATTGGATT